ACTCCCGTAAGGATTTACACCCTCGGAAACCCTGTACAGGGTCGCTATGGGTCGGACCCGACTCGATGGCACTTAACAACAACAACAACAACAACAATAACAACAGTACTATATGAACAAATATAAAAGATAAATGTGGGATTTTGGAAAACACTAGCTCCTACACTAAGTGTACTCCCACTATCAAGTGAAATCAACTCTTTTGAAAGAATTCTGGGAAGCGGGGACAAAGTTAGAATCAGTTAGGAGGCTAACTGCTGACTTCAGACTCTGCAAGAAGTTAACCTCACTGCCTTCTCCATACAAAATCACCGCAGTACTAAGTAACCTTATTGAGAGAGGGTTATGGCTTTTGGTGACCTCAGGACGGAGACAAAAGATAGCACTCTAAACTACAGGTCTAAATGAAACACTCAGGCCACTCTTATTAATTGGGCTTTTAAGTGCTACTACATGATTCTGCAACCAGAGGTGAGGAAAGCTAGACAGAAATACCATGATCTTGATCAGGAGCTTCCAGGTTGTAGCCATATCCCAGCAGGGTCCGGACAGCCTCCCGAAGACTGTCCTTATTTGATTTCTTGGTTCTATCGTCTAAAAGTGCATAGGGAACAAGGCGGGGGTTTCTTCTGTTCTTTACATCCTACAGAAAGCAAAAAAGTTATGCAAATCACCAGGGCAATTCAAATAAGAAAGTTACCAAATACATCACAATTTAAAGACTTTGAAGGAAAAGCTCACTCCCTTTACCTGCCCAGGCTAGAGAAGTTACCAAGACACTATTAGTGTAAAAACTTTAATTAAATGAATAAATGCATCAATTTAAAAGCAGTTCTTGACCCAGAAAGAAGGAACAACTACACAGTTTAACGATCTCTTTAACCATCTCCTATATGCCATTGTTACAAGGCAAAGGCTGCTGTGTTGTTGTTGTTAAACACTGCCAAGTCAATTCCAACACATAGTGACCCTGTATAGGGTTTCTGGGTGGCACAGGAGCTCCATATGATAAGCAAGGTATGCGGTTCGAGCCTGCCAAGACTCCGCAGGAGAAATGGGAGGCTTTCAGTTCCCATGAAGATTTCAAGCCTGGAAAACTACACAGACTCACTAAGAATCAGAACTGACTCCACAGCACTTAACAACAGCAACGATAGGGTTTCTGAGGAATGGCTGGTGGGCTTCAACAGCCGACCTTGAGGTTAGCAGTCCAGTGCTTACCCTATAGTGCCACACTTAGGGAACATATAATCTCCACGACTTGTCTTTGTTACAAAAAGAGCCTGGTTTGTACTGGGTGTACTTCAGTGGTTTTGCATCACTATCAAACTGCTTTCCGGTCTTCTGAGAACACCCAGTGTGATACAGACATGTCCTTGATATAGCTTTAAAACAAACTATTACATTGACTATATCCATTGATGAAACTAGACTGGTGGCACTGTACGATAAGCATTAGACCGCTAACTATAAGATCAGCGTTTCAAACTCACCAGCTGCTCCTTGGGAGAAAGATGAGGCTTTCTGTTCCCATAAAGATTTACAACCTCAGAAATCTTATAATAAGACGATTGCTGTAAGTTGGAACTGACTTGATGACACCTAACAACACAACATTGGTGAAACTAGTTCCAAGAGAACTGAAATGACTATTGTTGAGTGTTGTTAGGTGTCCTTGAGTTGGTTCTGAGTTACAGAGACGCTGTGCACAACAGAGAGAAACACGGCCGACCGGTCCAGCAGCAGCCTCACAATCATTGCTAAATCTGAGCCCACTGTTAGGCCACTGTGTCACTCCAGCTCATTGAGACCTTCCCTTCGTTTTGTTTTGCTTATGATCCTCTACTTCACCAAGCACCTGGAATCTTCTTCAGAGGATGAAGCATGTCCAAATATGTTAGATGAAATTTACCATCTTCAACTCTAAGGAACATTCTGCCAGTTAAATAATCTAGCAAACATTCCAACACAAATTTGTTCATTCTTCTGGTGTGGTGCTGTGGATCAGCTCTGGATTGAGAACCACAAGGTCAGCAGGTCAAGCCCACCAGATGCTCCTCAGAAACCCTATACAGGGTCACTATGAGTCAGAACTGACTCGACAGAATTTAACAACAACAAAATGGTGGTAGTGGTTAAGTTTTCTGGAGTCATAGCCAGCTCATAGGAACCCTGTATAGGGTTTCTGAGGCTGTAAATCTTTACAGGAGCAGAAAGTCCTACCTTTATCCCACAAAGCATCTGGAATTTTTTAACTGCAGTACCACTTATAATCTACTACATTACCAGGGCTATATATATATATATATATATACACACACACACACATTATATATATATATACACACACACACACACATATACACACATACATATATATATACCAGATGTGGTACTATAGGATATGCACTAGACAGCAACGTCAGTTTGATCCACAAGTCTGGCAGTTCAAACTCACCAGCCACTACTTGGAAACCCTATACAGGGTCGCAATGAGTTGGAACCAACTTGAAGGCACTTAAACAACTATATATATATACACATACACACACATATATATGTATATATATATGTATATATATATGTATATATATATATATGTTGTTGTTGTTGTTAAGTGCCTTCGAGTCGGAGCCGACCCATAGCGACCCTGTACAGGGTTTCCGAGGGTGTAAATCCTTACGGGAGTAGAAAGCCTCATCTTTCTCCCGCGGAGCGGCTGGTAGTTTCGAACCACTGACCTTAAGGTTCGCAGCCCGATTCGTAACCACTACGCTACCAGAGCTCCATATATATATATATATATATATATCGAGTGCTCTTGATAAAGAGAGACAGCAGGCTATCTTACCAAAAGAATGCCTAACTAACAAATATTGTTGCTTGTTAGATGTCATCTACTTGGTTCCGATTCATAGCGAACTTATGCACAACACACTGAAATATTGCTCAGACCCGAACCATCTTCACAATCATTATGCATGAGCCCACTGCTGCTGCAACTTTGCCAGCACATCTCATCGGCGGGGGTTTCTTCCTTTTTGCTGACCCTTCACTTTACCAACCATTATGTCCTTCTTCAAGCACTGGCTCCTCTTGGTCTATGTACAGATAGATAATGAGCATATTTAAATGTACTAGAATACTCATTCTCTGCAATGCTGCCAATAGCTTGTCATGATCCACACAGTCAGAAGTCTTTTCATAGTCAAAAACGCACAGGTTAACATCTTTCTGGTATTCTCTGCTTTCAGCCAAAATACTTTTGACATCAGCAAATATATCCCTTGTTCCACATCCTTGTTTGAATCTGGATTGAACCTCTGGCAGTTCTTGTCAATGTACTGTTGCCATCATTTCTGCATTATCTTTAGCAACATTTTACTTGTATGTGACACTAATGATATTATCTGATGATTTTCATAATCCATTGGGTCTCCTCTCTTTGGAATGCACATAAATACGGATCTCTACCAATCAGTTGATCAGGTAGCTATCTTCAATTTCTTGTCATAGATAAGTGAGGACTTTCAATGCTGCATGACTGTGTTGAAAGATTTCAGACTGTAGCCCATCAATTCCCAGAGCCTTGCTTTTTGTCAATGCCTTCAGTGCACGCTGAAGTTTTTACAACATCATTGGCTCTTGATCATATGCTACCTCTTGAAATTACTGAATATCAATCATTTCTTTTTGGTATAGTGACTATGTGTATTTCTTCCATCGTCTTTTGATGCTTTCTGCATCATTTAATATTTTGCCCATAGAATTCTTCAAATTGCAATGCAAGGCAATGTTTTCTTCAGTTCTTTAGTTTGAGAAATGCTTAGTGTATTCTCCCTTTTGGCTTTCTAATTGCAGGTCTTTGCATATCTCACTATAATATTTGACTCTATCTTCTGAAGTTGCCCTTTGAAATTTTCTGTTCAGCTCTTTTTCTTTCTCATTTCTTCTATTTGCCTTAACATCTCTACATTGGAGAGCAAGTTGCAGAGTCTCTTCTGACATCCATCTTGGACTTTTCCTTTTTTCTTGTCTTCTTAATGATGTTTTGCTTTCTTCCTGTATGATGTTCTTGATATCATCCTAAAACTCTTTTGGTCTTCAGTCATTACCATATAATGCATCATATCTGTTCTTGAGATGATCTCTAAATTCAGGTAGGATATATTCAGGGCCAAATTTTGACTCTCATGAACCTGTTTTAATTTTCTTCACCCTGAACTTGCATATATATGAGCAATGGATAGTCTGTTCCACAGTCTGCCCCTGGCCTTGTTTTGGTTGGTGATATGGAACTTTTCCACCATCTCATCCCATAGATGTAGTCAAATTGATTTCTGTGTATTCCACCTGGTGAGGTCTATGTGTCGTTGTGTTGTTAACTGCCATCGAGTGGGTTCCAACCCATAGCGACCCTGAACAGGGTTTCCAAGGCTGTAAATCTTTACGGGAGTAGAAAGCCTCATCTTTCTCCCACGGATCAGCTGGTAGTTTCGAACTGCTGACCTTGTGGTTTGCAGCCTGTTTCGTAACCACTACACTACCAGAGCTCCTTGAAGTCTTTGTGTAGAGTCATTCTTTCATATTGCAATGAACAAGTCATTACTCTTACACAATTATATCACGTGATCTCTAGCATAGTTTCGATCAAAAAGGTCACATTTCCAAGTATTGGTCCTTCTTATTTTTTTCCAACCTTTACATTCCAAACACCAGTAACTATCAATACATCTTCACTGCATGTTTGATCAATTTTACACTGAACAAGTTGGTAGGATTCTTCAATTTCATCATCACTAGCTTTAGTGGTTTGCATAAATTTAAATAATTGTGGTATTAACTGGTCTTCTTTATGTTTTTGTTCAGTGCCCTCTAGTCAGTTCCAGTTCAGTGACCCTGCGTAGGATTTCCAAAGAGCGGCTTTAAATCTTGCGGTTCAAACCGACCTTGCAGTGCAGTATATCAGTCCACAGCACCACACCAGGGCTCATACGGATATTATTCTATTACAGACAATATTATACTTCAGTATATACCTTGAAATGTTTAGATCAATGCAATGCCATCCTTCTTCAATCTGTCATTCCACTAGAGTAGGCCCTATGACTGACTGTCAGATTCAAAATGGCCTATAGCAGTCCATTTCAGCTCACTAATGCCTAGGATAGAGTCCTGGCGTGTTGCTGTAGGATAATGCACTGCACCAGTTTCAACCACAAGGTCGGCGATTCAAACTCACGTGCTGCTCCTTAGAAACCCTATAGAGGGTTGCCATGGGTTGGAACTGACTCAATGGCACTTAACAACAACAACAATGCCTAGGATAGTGATTTTTATGGATTCTATTTCATTTTTTATAACTTCCAATTTATCTACAATCATACTTCATACATTTCATGTTCCAATTATTAATGTATGTTTATAGCTGTTTCTCCTCATTTTCAGTTTGTTCCACCAGCAAATGAAGGTCCAGAAAGCTTTACTCCATTTTCATCCTCACAATCAACTCTACTTTTAGGAGGCAGCACAAACTCATCTGTCTGTGGTACTGTGGTGGCTTGCATGTTGCTGTGAATCTGGAAGTTATGCCACCAGAATGTTAAATAGCAGCCGGGTCATCCATAGTGAACAGGTTTCAGCTGACCTGCCAGAAAAAGACTTGGAAGAAGGAGAGACAGACTACTTCTAATGGTTAGCCACTGACAATTTTAAGAAGAGTAGCAGATAGCCTAAATACACAGGGAGAAATTTTACTTGAAATGGAATGGTGAAGAGGCTTTAATTCCCATAAGTCTATGGAGTGTTACCATTTAAGAAATTAATTTCTATATCCTAACCGAGGCGTTAGAAAGCCTGGTAGCACAGTCATTAAGTGCTTAGCTGCTAATCAAATCATTAGTACTTCAAATCCATCAGACACTCCACAAGAAAAAAATCTGTAAAGACTGCAGTCTTGGAATTCTTGTGAGGCAGTTCGGCTCCACCCTATCGGGACTCTTTGAGTTGGAACCAACTCACTGGCAATGGGCCCACAGGAATCACTGAGGCTCTGCTGCAGTGTGTGTCCAAGTCTTCACATAGCCAGAAGCACCATCAGAAGCTGCGAGTTAACCCCACACCTTCAGGTGACAATGCTGTTGTTGATAAGTGCTGTCTATGGGGTTCTGACTCTTAGCAACCCTATACAGAGTTTCCGGAGAGCAGCTGGTGAGTTTGAACTACCGACCTTGTGGTTCAAACTGACTTTGTGGTTCTGTGCATATCCTACTAGTTAAACTCTATTTGACCAGACTTCTAAAGCAATCATTATGTAATCTCTCCTGTTACAAAATATGCTAATCTACACTAAGTAGATGACACAGACTGTTTGATTCGGAACCAAGTTCCTTCTATACCTGTTGGATTCCGTAAGTCCAGCCCTGACGGATTCGATCTCGAGCCCACACATTATGGGCATTTTCAGCCAGTTTGTCCACCATCGCTTCCTGGGATGGGGTGAGTTTTATAAAGCTCAGGTCCATAGGAGCAGGCTTGTATCCACTGGTCAGCTGGTAACTATAAAGCAAACCAAAAGACAATATTGGTTTTTCTATACTAGAGTTAAAATTTTTCACATCCTAACTTTTTTAGCCCCGCATAATTTAGCTGTTGTTGTCGTTAAGTGCTGCTAAGTTGATTCCAATTCATAGCAACTCTGCATAGGGTTTCCATGGAGCGACTGCAGTGTATACATTCTAATCTCTTAAAATAAATAGAAAACTGAAAATGCTCCATTTTTCAACACATACATACAGGCTTACCTCAGAGATATTGCAGGTTCAGTTTCAGACCACTGGAAAAATAAGTAATCATTGCAATAAAACGAATCACACAAATATTTTAGTTCCCAGTCATTGTAAACACTGTTTACTCTCTACTTCTGTCCATTCAGTGTGCAACAGCATTAGGAAATGTTTGTTACACTGTAAGAATTACCAAAATTCACACAGACACACAAAGTGAGCACATGCTATTGGAAAATGGCCCCAATTGGCTTGCTCAGTGCACAGTTGCAACAAACCTTTTGTGTGTAAAAAATGCAGTGTCCATAAAGTACAATGAAACAGGGTCCTGGTGTGGTGCTGTGGGTTAATGCACTGGACTGCAATGTCAGTGTGATCCACAAAGTTGATGGTTCAAGCTCACCAGCCGCTCCTCAGAAACCTTATGCAGGTCACTATGGATCGGAACTGACTCGACAGCACTTAACAACCACAACAACATCTCTGACAAACAGAATACTATTCAATATGTAGTGGGCACTCACTAAGTATTTGTTGAATGAATTGATGTATTCCGTTTTTGAATGTTGAAAAAGGTGGCTTTACTTTGTTGTTGTTGTTGTCAGGTGCCATAGAGTCAGAACCGACTCATAGCGACCCCATGCACAGCAGAACGAAACAATGTCTGATCCTGGGCCAACCTCA